AACGAGCAGACTGTCCCACCGAGCAGACCCGCCTCTCCAGCCAGGTGACTGTGGAGGAGGAAGACCCCCCTCCTTACCAGGACGCCCTCTACTTCCCCATCCTCATTGTGCACCGCAATGAAGGCTGCCTGAACCACGACCACCGTCACCTCCACCGCAACGGGTCCTGCGTGGAGACCTCACTGTGAAAGCAGAGGGCGGTGAGATCTCGTTGTCCGTTGCCTGGCCCGAGCCAGTGCGGGATCTGGGGAGAGGAGAGCAGTGGAGGGAGATGGCCCAGGAGGACATCAGGATGGAGCAGACATGGCATCTCGCTCCGGCAGCCAGCGAAAGCTTCCCCCCGCCGTGGCTCTGACCTCCCGGAGGGGTGAGTGCTGGTGCCCCCCCGACATGGCACAGAACTCTAGACCAACAACCACATGCAAAAAAAAAAACAACAACCCAACCAAACCAACCCCAAAACCATAATTCATGGCATCAAGACCCAAAGGGGAGAATAAAAAGACAGGCCTGATGCAGGGAGTGAGATGCTTTGGCTCCCAGCCCTGGCTCCAGGCTTGCTTGTGCTCCGAGGAACCAGCAGCCACCAGAAAGCGCCCTGCTGCACCTCTGCCCACTCCGCTGCCCACGCTGGAGCCAGAACCCTCGCAGGGTGGAGGGGAACAGGCCCTTTGGGAGCAGCGTGTAACTGCCTGTGCCTAAAGGTCTGGGGCATCCAGGCACTTGGAGCTGAGCAGCAGGTTAGAGCGAAGGCTGAATGCCACGAATCCAGCTCTTCCCCTTCCCCCCAACCGTTCCCCACCCTCCCCACTTTTTTTTTTAGACCATGCTTCGACTGTTACTCTGTTCTCACTGCTGGGAATGGCACCGCCTCTGGAGGATCCCAGGCTCAGCTCCTTAGGAAGCCTCGGCACGCCAGCTCTGAGAGTCAGCATCCCCTAGGTAAAGGGCTTTCGGTTTGGGATTACAGCAGGCAGGCAGCACCGGGGAAGGGATGAATGTGCAAACCCAGATGGAGCAGAGATCTGCGGCGCTACTGGTCTGCTTGCTGGAGGAGGGCTCAGCCGGAAAGAGAAAACGGAAGCCCCCCCGGTGAGCTGGGAAAGGGGGAGAGGATGGCACTGGGACAGGCATCGTGGTAACAGGCAGCACGTCAAGTGGCTGGTGTCCATTCCTGGCTTTGAAGTGTGTCCTAATCGGTTCAGACAAACATCAAGGAAGGCTTAGGTAGGTTCAGCTGCAGTTCACCTATTGATAACAAAGCAACAGGTTGGTGCATGTCTGCAAGAGTGAATTTTGCATGAAATCAGGCTGGAGACTCAGCTATGGGCTCCTGGCCGCCTGGTTTTGGCAGAGGGCTCTGAGGGACTGGGAGGGAGAAATGCAAAAGCGTGCTGGAGCGTTGGGGACCAGGGCTGGGGAAATGAGGAGCAAAGGGATTCCCCTTCTTGTGGAGCCCCACCATGGGTGCAGGACCCACAGTTGGCAGGCAGGGAGGCATCTTCCCTGAGGGATGCACTGCAGAACAGACTGGGTATATGTCCAACTCTGGAGCCCCCAACATAGGAAAGACACAGACCTGTTGGAGCAGGTTCAGAGGAGGGCCATGAAGATGATCAGAGGGCTGGAGCACCTCTCCTGTGAGGACAGGCTGAGAGAGTTGTGGTTATTCAGCCTGAAGAAGAGAAGGCTCCAGGGAGACCTTATTGTGGCCTTCCAGTACCTAAAGGGGGCCTACAGGAGAGCTGGGGAAGGGCATGTAGTGAGAGGACGAGGGGGAATGGCTTCAAACTGGAAGAAGGTAGATTTAGATTAGATATTAGGAAGAAATATTTCACTTTGAGGGTGGTGAGGCACTGGAACAGGTTGCCCAGAGAAGTTGTGGAAGCTCCATCCCTGGAGGTGTTTAAGGCCAGGCTGGATGGGGCTTTGAGCAACCTGGTCTAGTGGGAGGTGTCCCTGCCCATGGCAGGGGGATTGGAATTTGATGATCTTCAAGGTCCTTTCCAACCTAAACCTGTGATTCTATGATACGTTAGAGGGCAATCTGCTTAAAATCAAGCAGTGTGCACTACAGAGTTTTTTTTGCAGAGAGCTGTCAGGCTGTGAGAAGTGAGGTAGCTTCTGTGTAGCCTGTTAGCCCCTGGGTTCCTCTGCCTTGCTCTTGTCAGGGCAGGTTGGCCTGCTCTGAGCTCTGTGCTGCCCCTTCTGTCCTGCTGGAAAGGATCTCGGTGGTGTTGGGCAAGGAGCCTTCACGTCACTGAAGCTACATGCAGGCACCCAGCTTTTCCTTCCCTGTCAACACATCCCCAGATCTCTCACGTCCCTGTCCTCAGAAAAGCTGTTCCTTCTCAGTCTGGGGGAGTGCATGCCAGATCAACCAGCGATTTCTCCAGACAGCGCTGGTCCTCAGCCTCACCACGCTTCCCTCATCCACTGGGGCAAACATGGATTAAGAACAGCAGGTCTTGGGTGACAAGAGCAAGTCCATTAGCACCTGGGCATTTGAGCTTGGTGTCTGCCTCTGCATCCATAGCAGAAGGGCAAGATGTAACAGCAAACAGTAAGGCTTTTTATTTAGTTCAGCTGGTCTTCCCCCTGCCATTTTATTAATGAAGGGTATATTTCTCCAGTCATGCTGCTGTACTGTTTCCTCCCAGGTCCTGGGGAGGCTGCAAATGTACCCTTCCACCACATCAGTTCTCTTGAAAATCATCTCTTGCTGGCAGGCCTGTAGCAGTCAGCACCTGTGGGAATTGTAAGGCTCTGCTTGGCTTTGCCCCCACAGTGGTCTGTTGTTCTGCTTATTGTGCCTTGTGTATCCTGGTCAGTGTCTCTTGCCCTTGTTTTCCTGGATCCCGAGTGCTAGACTCCAAACAACGGCGATTTGAACAGAAAGACCCTTAAAATCTCACTCTCTTGTGGTTCTGTCTTGTAACTTGCCTTTACTATCACTACCAGACCTAGATGTTGGCTTAGATGAGAGAGTGCCTTTGAGAACAGGGAAGCATAAGGTCTCCAGTGTGGACACATCCTTCTCCGTGTTTTGTTCTCATCATTATTGGCACAGATTGATTCAGACTGGGTGAAAGCAGCTACAGCCCCCTTGGCTGCCCTGGGATTTTCTTGCTCAGTGATGACATTTGGCTTGCTGTGCGCTTGTGCTTCTCTCTCCAAGGGCCTAATGGAGGCCAAAGCCAATGCTGAGGGTCCTTGTGACTCTGGGGAGATAATGGTGTGTGCTCGTATGTCCTGGTGAATCAGGAGACATTCAGTCAGTGGAGCTGCAGTGGGTCATTAGTGAGAAACGTGGTCCGCTTGTCCTTCCCAATGTGTTGTCTTTGAAATCTCCTACACATTACTTAAATTAGGCTGCGATGGCTCATCTTTCTATCTCCAGCCTCCAAGGTGCCTTGGACAGATGGATTTATCAAAGGTTTGGCAGGCCTTTTAGCTCCCTGGGGCAAAGACAGTCCTCAGAATAGGGACAGATTAGTAGGGTCTCTGTGCCCCCGTGCTTTAGCACCTGCAGCAGAGTTTTGCTTTCAGGCACCTTGTCCTTGTCTCTTTCTAGGCCTCTTCGTGAGATTGCTTCGGTTTATTCCTCTGGCCCCATTTTCAACCATGAAATCTTATTCTGGAGGTGGTTTGTCCAGGTGGATATGCGTGTCTTTGAGGCATGGCTGGTGCTCTGGCCTGCGGGATCTACGCAGAGTCTTCCTGCTGCTGAACACCTTCCCCATGCATAGTGCCAGCTGCAGCCAGGTCCCAGGTGTAGTCCCAGTGCCATGGTCTGTGGCCATGCAAGACCCACAGCACCCTGAGGAGAAGTGGGACCTCTCTCACTAGTGCTCTCTGCTGCATGCCAGGATTTTTTGGAGATCCCTTCCTCATATTCTTGGCCCTCCAACCCCACTGCACATGGGGGAGCTGCCCCCCTGTTCCAGCCTACTCCATTCTTGCCAGGCTGGAGATCTTCCTGTCCTGTCTTAGGCTCAGGAAAGGGGGCTGGCATGCATGGGAATGGGAGGGGAGTGGGACTGGGCAGGAGGGACAGGAGCTGCCTGGTGGCTTGGCAGAGAAGTGGTGGAGCTGAAGAGGACAGACTGAAACTGGGGTTGTGTTCCTTTTCCTTCCCCTTTCCTCCAATGGCAGGGCAGCACGTCTAGCCAGGCAGGGAAGGTTATGGCAGGCAACTGGGCTGTCCCTTCCTGCCCCCAGCATGGGACGTGGCTGGCAGAAGGGGTAGGTGCGTAGCTTCCCTCTGAAGTGCTAGCGAAGGACCCTCGTGCCCTGGGCAAAGGGCAGCTGATTTAATTCTCCTTGCAGCTCAGGTTATCAGCGTGGATATCCAAAGACAGTCTGTCCTTGTTCTGGCGCGCAGCCTCTCTGTGGTGGAGTGGTCCCATCTCCCCCAGCACGCAGACATCCACCCGCCACAGCTCCGGGCTGAGCAGCAGTCAGGCGCCTGCTCTTCCTCCAGACTTGTGTCTGCTCTCTGCCGTGTCTGCATCGGTGACGACGATTCCTTTGGCAGCTCAGTCGATGGCCCAGTCTGCTCCTCTCATGATAGCCTGCTCCCTTATATCTAACCTGAATTCTCCCTGCTGTATCTTAATCCCATTACTTCTCCTCCATTGACTGCTGAGTTTAATTGGCTCTGCTCCTGTTCCCCATGGCCTTCCCGACACAAGCAGGCGTTATCTGGTGTCTGCAGCCTTCCCTTCCCCAATCCCAGTGTCTTCTCTCCCTCAGGATCTCAGTGGGCGAACCCTGGCTTGTGTGATGGTGCGCAAGTTTTCCTTGTGTAGTGAGTCTGTCCCTCCTGCTGTGGGCATGGCCTGGGCGAGAGGAGAGGGCCAAAGGTGTGAGCAACGCCTTGGTCTGTCACGCTGGCTGTGTCCTCATTTCTGGTGCAGAAGATCTCCCCAAAGCGGGCGAAGTACACAGCATGGCTGGCCCCTTGTGCAAGGGAAGCAGGACAGCCTGCGTCACCCTTTGGGAAGGTGAAAGCCGGGTGCTTGTCAGTACGAGCGGGGCATACAACTAAAGGATCTCAGCAGCCAGACGGGTTTTTTCCATACGTCATTCACCCGTTGCAGCTTTCCATGGGCCGAGAGTCAGGCTCAGCATTGCACTTGTCAGCAGGCTTTCCTCTCAGAGCAAAAAAACATAGCGGAAAGAGGGA